CTAGGCTAGCAGCATATAGCGAGGCAAACACTTTATTCTGCTTTTCCTGCCTCCTTTTTCAAACATCAGGATCTGAGCCAGCATGGATAAAGACAGCTAGTACTGATTTACAGCACTTTATAGAAAAGGCAAAGAAAATTGAACAATCTGAGATTCACATGAAAAATAATAGAATCTAGTCTACTTTTTTTAGCTGTTTGTTAATTTGCATAGATGCTCTTAAATAAAAACATTCTCAGAAAATAAATACTTTTTTATATATTAAAAAAACTATAAAGCTGACTAATAGCTTGTCCGTTTTTAAACTGGCACATAATTTATTTAGGTTTGTGACACAATATTGGAGCATGCAGAACACAGATTTATCTTCACAGCCTCAGAAGATTATGTACAAAAAGTAAACCTGGAAATGAAATTATGTTTTTATTCTTTAAAGTGTTTTGTAATGTTTGTTGTTGTTAGCATTCATATAAATACTGGTGTGATAACTTAGTGCACATTTGATTGGTTTTTGGTATACATCTAGCCACCACTGAGTTAAATGCAAGTTTAATGCTTCATGACAAATACTAGTGATGTTAATGAGGCATCTTAAAGCCAAACTGCATTGATTCTGTCTCACAGAATACTGACACCTGCTGGACATTTAAAGGCACTACAGGCAGCTTATTGGACAGACTAAACTGAATTGATTTGATGACCTATACCATGATAGAAGTTCAATTATTGTAGATTATATTGTATTATTTCATATCTGTGTTTAAATTGAAAATATCTTTGAAATTTTTAGATGCAGCCAATAAATAATGTGAACATTTATCATAACATGAATATTTAGGGGAAAATGTTAACGAGGATGCATGTGGACTGGGATTTTTAATCATAATTCTAAAAGCAGATTTATTAGTAAATAAACTAAGTCAATTTGAAATTAACTTTAATTCTGATAAGTTTAGTGATAACTAAATGTATGACGAGAAAATAAAAATAAGAACCCAACGGCTGAAACGTTCCTATTCCTTTTAGGCTCCAAAATTCTTGATAATTTTAATAATAAACCGCAAAATATTTTTTAGCAGCTGCATCATTTTGACAGAAACGTTTTTAAACACAGTTTAGTGAGTCAGTCAGTTAGAAACAACTCCTGGATCGGTCACATGACCATCTGGAAACGATACGCGCACCGATGCAGTGGGCTCTATGTAAATTATATTAATGTAAAATATTTTTGTCTTTCTTTTAAGATTCAATTGCCGCCATCATTTTTTATATCATGTTTCTTATTTTGACAAATCGGATATAAAGTTCGACATATCATTATTGAATTTTTTCTGCCACCTTATTACCGCTAAAAAGAACACATTTAGATTTTTTTATGATTTAAAGAATGAAGGGCGTGGCTTTGAGAGTAGATGGGCGCGGTCTGTCCATAGGCCTTTATGGCAAGCCATTTTGACATTTATCTGATGCCCTGTCCGCACTGTTGTTCCATTTGTAGATAATTAAAATAACATTCTTCCAGGTCAAAACTACATTCCTTCTACTCATAACTATAAATATAGAATTCTAAATTACATGTTTTCCAACAAAAACTACATTTCATACATGGATTGCATCAATAATCATTTCTGTAAAAGTGGTCATTTTGTAATTTAAAGAGAATGTTAATTAAGGATATCCACAACTTCATTGTTCCTAGAAGAACTGCAGCTGTAGATATCTTTAATGACACTTTTACTGGTAGAAATATATTTTAGATATCAGAAATAATAGATCAGGGGCGCTTCTAGGATCAGAAGTTTAGGGGCTTTCCACAACTTTATTAAAATTATGCACCTATTTAAGGGCAAAAAAAATGTTTATTCTTTCATAGCCTCAGGATGTTTATCTGCTGGGATCAAAAAAAGTTTCTAAACCAGTAAAAATCCAGCTGCTTAAACAGATTTGCTGCTTTACTGTTGGGAAACTTGACATTTTCTCATGTAAATTTTTGCAAATGTTCCTTTTCTTCTCAGCAACCTGTGAGGATTACCTGCTATTGGAGAACATGAACAAACTCACAAGTCTGAAATACATGGAAATGAAGGACATTACTATCAATATAAGTCGGAACCTGCAGGATCTAAACGACAAGTGTAAGACCTGCTTAAAATAAAGCTGCAAAAAGAATCAATCTTTGTGATCGTTTGGTTTAATATGTTCTGCACTGAAAGAGTTTTTGGTTTGTTGATTCAGATGCGAGTCTACAGCCGTACCTGGACCAGATAAATAAGATTGAGGAGCAAGTTTCAGCTCTTGAACAAGCTGCGTACAAACTGGACGCCTACTCCAAGAAACTGGGTAAGATGTTCAGTACTCAGAAGTAGAGAGGTGTGTCATAGATCCGGAAGAGTCTTTATTTGGATGGATTTTACACCAAACACTGGGAGCAGAGCTTGTTTTAGTGATCTATTAGNTTTTGGCTGATGTTCGCCAACCATTGATGCAATTTTATTTATTAATTTTTTAAAATTAATAATCGATACTTGGCGTCAAGAATCGATGCAGTAGATCACGAAAATTAGAGTCACGATGCATCATCACGGCGATTATTTTGCACACCCCTAATATATATATATATATATATATATATATATATATATATATATATATATATATATATATATATAAACATTTATTAATATGTATTTTTAGATGTGCAAGATAAATATTTAGTCTTTAATGACTAGTAAATTACCATTCCATTATTCGTCAGATTGGCAAAGTTTTTCCGCCCTAAAGTGCAATAATCTTTGCCCATTGACTCGTTAAATGTTACATGTGTTAAATGTGTACATGCGCAGTAGCTCCTCTGCCATACAGACGGATAGGAGTGCTGACAGGAAGTGTATTTGCTCACTACCTCCCACCACAGCACTGATGTTTTGCAGGTGTTTGAGGGGTCGAGTCGCGGGAGCTGGAGAGAGAAGGGGAGAGAAATGGCGCAAGAACCGTCCTTTTCCAGGACCTGGTTTAGCTCCTAGGCTAGCAGCATATAGCGAGGCAAACACTTTATTCTGCTTTTCCTGCCTCCTTTTTCAAACATCAGGATCTGAGCCAGCATGGATAAAGACAGCTAGGACTGATTTACAGCACTTTATAGAAAAGGCAAAGAAAATTGAACAATCTGAGATTCACATGAAAAATAATAGAATCTAGTCTACTTTTTCTAGCTGTTTGTTAATTTGCATAGATGCTCTTAAATAAAAACATTCTCAGAAAATAAATACTTTTTTATATATTAAAAAAAAACTATAAAGCTGACTAAAAGCTTCTCCATTATTAAATTTATTTAGGTTTGTGACACAATATTGGAGCATGCAGAACACAGATTTATCTTCACAGCCTCAGAAGATTTATGTACAAAAAGTAAACCTGGAAATGAAATTATGTTTTTATTCTTTAAAGTGTTTTGTAATGTTTGTTGTTGTTAGCATTCATATAAATACTGGTGTGATAACTTAGTGCACATTTGATTGGTTTTTGGTATACATCTAGCCACCACTGAGTTAAATGCTAGTTTAATGCTTCATGACAAATACTAGTGATGTTAATGAGGCATGTTAAGGCCAAACTGCATTGATTCTGTCTCACAGAATACTGACACCTGCTGGACATTTAAAGGCACTACAGGCAGCTTATTGGACAGACTAAACTGAATTGATTTGATGACCTATACTATGATAGAAGTTCAGTTATTGTAGATTATATTGTATTATTTCATATCTGTGTTTAAATTGATAATATCTTTGAAATTTTTAGATGCAGCCAATAAATAATGTGAACATTTATCATAACATGAATATTTAGGGGAAAATGTTAACGAGGATGCATGTGGACTGGGATTTTTAATCATATTTCTAAAAGTAGATTTATTAGTAAA